CAAAGAGAGTAAAGAGTGACAAAACTAGCAGAGTTCCACAAAAGCGAACTGAAACAGGGATAGTTACTTGGAGCACGTGTGTAATGTTGTCTCCCACAGTCACTACACAAGCTGCTGCCTTGCACGTGCCACAGCACTGTCCAGGTTTCTTTGTATACCTATAACCCTGTTTTGAAAGAAACGGAGAGGAAATTACATTCAGTCAGGACACTGACCTTAACTGGTGGATATTTGAGCTAAGTGGGGTAGGAATTACTGACAGCAAAATAGCACTTACAGCTGGGCAGTATGTGTCACAGATAACAGGCTTGCACTTGACAGTAGTGTGGTGAGGGCTTGAGTAAGAGGATTCAGAGCAGGTGCATTCCTCACAGGGGCCTGATGGAATGACAGCTCCAGGCTAGGGGAATTCAGAAAAAAAGTCATTACTAGTCAGTAAAAGTAAGTTACTTTGTGTATGTATGTCACAGACAATACAAAGCTGAACTATGTATGGGCTAAACTATCCTTAAATACATTTTTCGTTGTTTTATTTAAGCAGAGTTTCTGTTGTTGGTAATATCCATTTTGGAATTAAATTCTGCTAATGAAGAAAGGAGAGGAGAAAATGCTTTTGCTTGCAGGGAGCATGTTGATGTGCTGACCTCGATTAAATAATTAATGATGTTTTACCTCAGGCCTTTCTGCAAAATATAGTCCATGATAGGAGTCTCAAAAATATTGCATTGTGAACCTATGTGAGGGTGTATTTTTATAGCGAGTTACTTTGTGTACTTACTGCATAGTAGGTTTCATTGACTACACAGCCATGTCCTGTAAAGAAGGAAGAAAGATGTTGTCATAGAGGTGTAAGTTTTAAGAAGCAGCAGTATGTGAAAAAACTTCTGCTTTGTTGGCCCCATATGAAAACACAGATAATTTCCATCTTTCTCTTTTAAGGTTTTTGTATTCATAAACTTAGAAAAATATAACTGTGAATAACACATGAAAAAGGTACATAGTACTTACTGCATTCGAAGGTAGGACAGCATTTTCCAGGCTGCATTATTGTGACTACTTCCTGTCCCTCTAAGCACTGGGGTGTAACCTCAGGGCAGAGGCTAGTGTTGCAGTCTGTTTCATGTAAGAGAATATAGAAAATAATGAACTCAGAATTTTAAAATGAAAATAATTTTGTTTTGCATGAACTTCAGAAGTTTTCCCATGGGGCAAATATGGTGTTGTTTACACAAGCTAGCTTAATGGCTAATTCAGTATATTTGCCCAGCTATTTTTAAAGTGAAAGGGCTTTTCCATAACCTTTGTAAACCAAAGCATTGTGTGAGCAGAACAGGGTGGTGATTGCTGGAAAGAGATACTTCCAAAGAGAAATTTGTACCAACTGGGGAATCTGATGACTCTCATCTTGAAGGTTCAAGAACTTTCTTGAGCAATTTTTAAATGTTCAAGACTTCTTTTTTTTAAGAAAACTTTTTTTATACTTGTCTTTGAAACAGAAAATGCTTTGAATAGGTTTTTGAATATTGTTTCAGGTGGTGGCAGCATTAAAAGTTTTCAGTGTTAAATTATAGGAGGTTTCCAGTTACTTTTCTGTGTCTGACTATGTAAAATGTTTTCATCTTTAAATTTGTTCTCTTCAGGCATCCAGTAAATGCTCTGCAAGAAGGTCCTAAGAAGTGGGATGAGGGAGAAAAGCATCATGAAATCAATGTAAATTATAGAAAAAATGAGAAATTATTGCTGTAGTTCCCCAAAATGAATATAGTATATTCCCCACGATAAAGAACTAAGACAGTACTTACAGCACTCCGTCCTGCTACAGCATGGATCTTCTGGTATCTGTATCTGAACAGGTATGTAACCTGGTTCATCACAAAATACCTGCTGTGTCAGAGAACATTTGTGTTTTGTACAGTGCACTTTAAGAGTGTTCTTGTCACAGACACAGTCCTGGCAATCTTTTGTCCATTTTTCTCCTGGCTATATAAAAAAGAAAAAGGAAAAAAAAAAGGAAGAGAAAAATTATATATAAAATTATATATAAATTTATATATAAATTTAAACCAAAATAATTCTATTTGTTTCTAGTTAACTTCTTAATGGATACAGTGATACCTGTACATAAGCCTTTTTATATTTCTAGTAATTTTAGATTCTATAAGAAACCCTTGAACTAAAGCTGATTAAGGGAAGACAGTAGAGGCTACTGAAGGTTCTGAGCATGTTCACACAGCTATCGCTTCCTATTTATTAGTAGTGTTAGTATGAGGGATACAAGAGCTTTAAAGGAGAAGTGATTGAGCTTTGCATGCATTTTTGAATAAGAAATTATAATATGCCATACTCATTTGCACATTAGGTTACAGAGAGAAATTTCTATAATTTGTATGCAGCTGAGGAACTAAGAATGCAGACTATCAACATTATCAACAACAGGTAAACTTTGTTATCCATCTGTCCCTTATTCTCTAATAACTTCAGTAAGCCAAATTTGTGGAAATAAAAGAAGCATATATGCCAAAGTTCCACTACTACCATCGATCTCTTTTTTTCTCTTTCTCTTTTTTTTTTTTTCTTTTTTTTTCAGTATGTGAGGTGATGGTTATTGAAAGAATATTCCATCACATTCTGTTAAATTTCTTAGGGGGTAATGTGGTTTCTGCTCTGGCACTGATAATTATTTTTAACACTAAAGGGGAATGAACATTTGAAAAAAAACCCTAAAGTCTCCCCCAACTTAAGCAAAACTGTTGTTGTGAAACATTAAATATCCTCTTGCTTCACTTGTCTGTGCTTGATAAACCACATTGATTGTGATACTCACCCATCTGGATACTCCATTTGGTTCCCTACAAGCTGGAAAGAAAAAAAAAAAAAAGAAAACAAATGGAGATTTACACCACTGAAAACTGACATAAAGGAGTAAATTTGTTCAGTTTCAAATAGAAATACTGTGAAGATAAAACTAACAAGGAAATGAATATGCAGTCTAGTTGTTTTGAAATGTAGATTTCTACCATCTTGGTAGGTCTCATGTAAGGAAGGAAGATGGAAAAAAGGTAATATTGATTATTATTTGATTTTTAGATGGGGAGACTAAAGTTGCTTAAAGAGGCTGATATGCCCGTGATTTGCCCATGTAGAAGACAGCAGTAGAAGACAGGCCTTCTGACTATCAATCCTGATCTCTATTCCCCAAACTAGCTACAGATCACTTACAGCATTCAGAGACACAGACATTGCTGTCTTCACTCATAAGTGTCATTCCTTCAGGACAGAAACATCCTTCAGTTACTCCATAGCCAGGAAGCTCAACAAAGCTAGAGTGGGAGGAATATATGTATTTGAGTACAACGTTTTTGCAGTGAAGCAGGAGAGAGAGCAGGCTATGTAGAAGGTTGCCATGTCAGATACAAAGGAGACAAAAGAATTTACATTTTCTGAAGTGCAACAGGAAGTGCATATTCATGGAGCTGATTGATATTTATTAATCTTGAATAAATTATCCAAATTCAAGAGACATTTCATTATGAAGTAACTCCATTTTCTAAGGAAAGTAGATAGGTAAAAATAGAAAAAAAATATATATGCCGTTGTTTTGGGGTGGGGTTTTTTTGTCTTTCCATACCGTGGGTCACAGGTAGCAGGATTAATGGGCCCACATGGCTTGTATACCATGCCTGCTGGACAGTTGTATGCTGTATGGAAAAAGAAGAAAAAAGATCAAAAATTCACAGTAGATGCATGTTTGCAGCAAAAGTGACTACAGTTTTGCCTTCTTCATCTGCAGCTTCTGTAAGGACGTCGCTGTATTTTTGTAGACAGTACTCAAGTGTTAGATGTAAGATGTATTTACTGAATAAAACACTAATTACTACCATTTCTCACACACATTTTTGAGTTCTGCAATACTTACGGCATGTATTGTTGATCTTTCCTCTCCAGTCAATGCAGACACCTCTAGCAGCACACTCTGTAGCATACATCTCCAAACTGGAACACTGCATGGATTCATTGGCTATGCGACATCCATCAAAAACACAGCCTTCGAAAAATGGTTCTGGTGGTATCACAGCATGACATTCTGCAAAAATCCTGCAGACAGAGAAGAAACCAAACCCCTTTTATGTTAACCAGCCATTATATAAAATCCAGCACTTCCCAGTTAATGGCACGTGACTCTGCTTCAGGAAGGAATGTATTACAAGAAACAAAACCCTAAGAATGGCCAATACTCTGGGAGATAAAGTCAGGAAAGGAGAGGTTAGGAACTTTGAAGCTCTGGTTTGGTTTTTTTTTGTTTTTTTTTTTAAAGAGGCTAATGGTCATAGTGTTTCTGTATGTGTACACAACTTTTCATCAGTCTGACGCCAGAAATTTAATGAACAAGGGAACTGCATCTGATTGAGGAAAAAGGGATGATAAAAGTAGCCAAGAGAGAAAAATTGCACATACAATAGCTCATTACTTATTAGACACTACAGCAAGCATGCATAAGAGGGTCTTTATAAGTGACCCAGCTGAAAAAAAGCTCTCATCAGAGCTCACACAAGTATAGGAAATACTGCAGGAAACAAGCCTTTGTGCTTTTGGAGCTCCATGTTTTACATGGAATGTACAAAGAATGAAGGATGCTTTTTGGCTGAGATGTTTCTGTCTGCTCTGTTAACCTGGTTGGTGACCAGGTTCTTTATGGTTTGTACTGAAGGCCCACTTCAAATTTAGAGTTCAGTCTTTACTTAAGGGTGTAACTAAGAGTGAGTGAGCATACCCTGGAAGGTAGGAAGGAAGATAACATAAATCTGTGAGACTGCAACTCAGGGAGTATGGATTTTAGTGCTTGCTGCATCCCTGATTTTCTGACTTCATCTCTCCTGGTTCAGTTATCTTTGGCATGTCATTAAAAAAGAGCCATTTCTTTTGCAAAGGCCTTTTACTGTATTTATCCTGCCATTAAGCTGACATTTTCAGCTATTATCACATGCTAGGGCTATAGTTCTTGCTCTTCTTGTAAGATACTCAGATAGCTTTGTCTAGAAAGAGTGAATTCATTCAGGTTTTTTCTTACTTGCTCCAGATAAGCTTGCAGAGATGAGGCTTTTCACAGTGAGGCTTTGGTGGAGGTGTGGTTACACCTGGTTTTATTGGTACTCCATGGCATGACTTGTTGTTATCAACGATCCAGTGATAAGCCATTTGAGGACAGGAAGAAATAATCTTACCACTTGGTAAGCGGCATTCATCTGATTTATTATTTGTACATGTTCCTGGAAGAGACAAGCTATGTAAGTCTCATAAGCTACGTCAGAGATGCACAATACATTATTGTGCTGATATCACATTTAGACATGATGTACTCATGAAATGTATAAGGTGCCTTGCTTCATAGGGAGTGCTTTCTTTACAGTTATATGAACTTTAATTTAGGTTATGGAAAAACAAACAAACCTTAAAACCACAGACCCAAAGAAAAATGTCAGGTTGCTGAAATATTGAGCTTTTGATCCTACAGAAGAGCAGAACTGTTTTCATTTCCATTTTACTGCTGTTTAAAAATTTCTGTCAGTCATGAGACTGCATTGCCAGAGTGGGTGAGAATAACCACGGTAGGGGGGGGAAAGAGTCCCACCTCCAATTAGTGCATCTGTCTTACCACACTGTCCTTCGGTGTTGTTGCCAAATTTGCTGTATGGGAGTTTCACCGAAAAAATCATCCCACTAAACGTGATGGTTGCACCAATCTCTGGTATTTCAACAATCATATTGATGCCAAGTGTGGAGAAAGTAATGCCATCTTTTTTGAAGCCTGGTTTGACAATCTTTTGGTTGAAGTACATCTGAATCCAGGGTTTAAAAAAAAAAAACAAACAACTTCAGAATAAGCACTGCTTCTGCCTGATTGTCTTAAATAATGTATTTTCTAATCTTCATAATCATGCATAACTCCATATTGTTGTGCATCACATCCAGTGCCCATTGACATAAAAATATCAGCATATATATGCATTAATATCTCAGCTTATAGTACTATATTGCTACAGTGTGATAATAGTGTCCTCTATGTGCTGTGTTTGTGCAGATGGTGTGCTAATGCATAGCATTCAAAATCCAAGTATTTTTTTTTTGTATCCTTCATCATTTTGTTAATTGTAAACAGTTTTCATATGAAAATGAGTGGTAGTTTTCTTTAACTACAGAAATATTCCTGCCATTATTCCATAATAACTTTGCTGCAAATTGACACTATCCCTATACTACGTGTTGCTTGGCACTGGAAGAGTTGTCTGAATTCAAAATCAAGTCAAATGTCCCTGGTGCCAGTTTTATGTAGTGGTCATATTTATTCGTTAATCTAAGCTGTTCCATTTTTAGCCTGTATCTTATATGAGCTAATGGAGGTGGACCTATTTGCGTAATAACTTTTTGTCAGAAATTACTCTGCAACTTTCTTCTCATTGACTTGGGATAAAGTAACAGTTAAAACTGTCAGTTACTGTTTTCTTTCACAGGGAATCACCGGACTAATTGTTTCAGCATGCTTTTCTGACTGTAGGTAAGGAGAACTTGGCATGGCTCTGTAGGGGGAGAGTGCATATTAAGACAAACTTTTCCTCCCACATCTTTGTGTTCTCTAATCAACTCATAAATTCCCCAGTGTAACAGTGGGATGGACTTTTTGTTTTCACTGGCTTGCCAGCACTAGTTTAGGATTACAAGAGTGAAGTAACACCCCCGATCACCACTTTTTTTCAGCTATACCTCTCTTCCCAGCAGGGAATTGGAGGGGGAATCATGTCCCAGCCTGTTTGCTGCCTGAAGTTCCCTATGCAGAGGAACCAGTCCCTAGTCATCCATCTGATAAGGGATACATACCCATCTTCACCAGGAGAGAAGAGCCGTGCTTGTGATTTACATTTGTGTTGCTTCATAATGTGCTTGTTTACATAAGTGAATGGCACAATGTACTAGTTTTCATGAAACATGCATCAAGCACCAGTGTAAGCATTCTTTCTGTCTTCTTTCTCTATCAGCTCTATTAGTCTGTTTCCTAGTGTTATTTATATATACACATACATGTACATAATATATTCATATCTGCGTAGTGCTATGCTGTTTCTGACATTTTTTTCTTAGAAACTGATGTAATCTTTTTTTTTCCTGATGATAATTTCTGCCTTCATCACCTCCATGTTATGATATTCTAACAGACTGTATTTCAAATGAGAATCAGTAAGGCCTATAGACCTTATTTCTTTTTTGCAAAAACAGAGAAATAAAGAATGTGTATTTTACCACATTGGTCATCACACCATTCATGAGTTTACGGGTCAGCACCACTTCTGCGGATTTGTAGAAAATAAGAATGGATTTAGGGCAGGAAAGTCCATCTCTTGCATTGCAGTAATAATTGTCAATGTAAACACGGAAGTTGTCATATTTAGGTACAATCTGTTTCACTAGGACGTAAGTGCAGTTTTCGAGGAAAGTATAGTAGGTTCCATCAAAAGTAATATAATGGGGATCACCCCAGCCACTGCACACACCTGGTAGAGAGAAAATATTTAGAAGATTAACATGACAATTAGTGTAGAAGAAAGAATTTAGAAACTGAAGTGAATATAATACTACTTACAGAGCAAGCCCAAGAAAACAAAATGCCCATATAATCTGTGCAAAGTTTTGATTTTTTCAAAAAAGGTTATTCCTTAATCTACTGGTGCTTACATTGACACTCATAGTGGTAACAGCAGCCATTTTCATCAGGTACCAGTATTGCCGGATATTTGTTCGCACAGGTAATTTCCTTTACAGGTGGGCAGTGCGTTGGAATTACTTCTACCTTGTTGTCTCCCTTACAGATGAGTTCTGTACAGTTGGATAATTTGTATCTTTGTCCAGGCTGCAAAATTGACAAAAATTGCTGTCACAGGAGTTTACAAGCAGATATGAACTTTACTCATATTTTTAGTTTAATGGTGTAGTGCTTCCAGTAATAGTGGTGTTGGAAAAGAAATTAATATGTGTTTCTTGTCTTCAATTTGTGGTACTAATGATTTGTAATGTTGACCAGAGGTATTCATAATTCAGACCATGATATGGAGGATAAGAAACTGCTTTGTTTTCCAAATCTGAAGCAAAGACTAAAATGAAAATCTTCACTGATAGTACAAGGTTGTCAATATTCTACACATTTTTTTTTATGCTAAAAGGAGGTGGGAACCTTAATTTCACCTATTTCTTCTGCATGAGGAGCTCTTCTGAGGTTTGGGGGGATAGGTCTTAGGTTAAGGAACCTGATGTCCTTTATACTAGCTATGTATACTGTACTTCACTACCAGCACAGACCAACGCTATCAGAAGAATGTGTACAGAAGTACAGGTAAGAGGGTAGGAGAACAGAAACAGATACAAGCCTCAACAGTAGCTTAAATTTTTCTGTTTAGTGAAGAAACAAAATGCACAAGAAAATTTTCTCTATTACTTAATAAGAAGGTTTGTTATTTATGCAATGCAGTGCATCAGAAAGTGTTTTAGTAGCACTAAAGTAATTAGAAAGTGTTATTGCAGCTTGGTTCTCAGTATGAAAAAAATTATAAAGAAAGCACATAAAAATGTTATGTCATGTATATATCACTAGCAACAATTATTCTGGCAATCTGCACATAAAAGGTTTAAAGACTGCAAAATGTTCCTTTCTGGTAACAACAAAACACTGATGTTATTTCAACAGTCATAAAACAGAAACTACATACCTGTAGAGGAGGGTAAGTAGCAGAAACACAACCAGTAACTCTTCCAGACGTGGTAGGCAGAGGAACTAATGTTGTTAAAGTAGACCATTCAGGGGAAGTAGTAGTTATAGGAGAAGAAACATTACAATAAACAGTGTGTCGCTCAACTGTACATGCTGGACTACAGAGGGCATAAAATCTACATCCATCACTATCCACTCTGTCATAAATCACATCACCTAAAGAAAAAAAAGAAAATAGAGTAAGATACTAAGGAAAAAAACAAAACAGATTACAAAAGGGCACAAAATTTCAACACGGAACTACAATATTTCCCAGTAAAACTTGTGAAGATATTAAAATGTAAATTAGGAAAACTGTGATGAAAAATAAGCAAAAACACTAAATACGAGATATATAAACTGATAATAGTAGGAAAACTAACCAGGTGAAAAAATACCATCCCCAATTTTGCAGAAACACGTTGCTGATACAGGGGTAGAAGAAGTGCTGGTGCAACACAGTACAGATGTGGTAGTAATGGTGGTACGCCTGGTGGTGGACGAGGGGGGGGTGCTTCGGCAG